CAATAAAGTTACTATTTCATGGGGCCATGGTGGTGCAGTGGGTTAAACTGCTGAGCTGTGGAACTTGCTGACTGAAAGATCGGCGGTTTGAATCTGTGGAGCGGGTGAGCTCCCATTGTTAACCCCAGCTTCTGCCAACCTAGCAGTACTAAAATGTGAGTAGATCAATAGGTACAGCTCCGGCAGGAAAGTAACAGCGCTCCATGCAATCTTGCCAGGGGCCACATGACCTCGCAGGTGTCTACGGACACCTATACTATATTTCATATTTCTACAATAAAGTTACTATATTTCATATTTCTACAATAGTTACTATATTTCATATTTCTACCATAAAGTTACTATATTTCATGGGGCCGTGGTGGTGCAGTGGGTTAATGATTCTTCTCTCTTCTCTGTCTTATTTCTCCTTTTAGTGAGACCCAAGCTTACCATCACGGTTGACACAAATGTAAACAGCACCATCTTGAGACTGGCAGATAACGTGCAGTCATGGAAAGTGGGCGATAGGATTGTTGTGGCCAGTACAGATTATTCCATGCGYCAAGCGGAGGAATTCCAGATCTTGCCATGCAGAGCCTGTGGGCGCCATGAAGTCAAAGTGGCAGGTAGGATTCCTTCTTTGCAATTCAAGCTTTTGATGTTGAGGTTGCTGCACAAGGATGGCGGGGGGGGGGGGCTGTTTACTTCTTCCTTTCCCTCCCCCCTCCTACTCTTTAAATGACTTAAATGATCAAGGGTCTGGAGAACAAGCCCTATGAGGAGCAACTTAAAGAGCTGGGCAAGAAGAGAAGGCTAAGAGGAGACATGATAGCCATCTATAAGTATGTGAAAGGAACTTATAGGGAGGATGGAGCAAGCTTGTTTTCTTCTGCCATGGAGACTAGGACACAGAGCAATGGCTTCGAACTACAAAAAGGAGATTCCATCTGAACTACTGCTACTCCAGGAAAGCCCATTTGCCCTTGTCTCCAGCCTGGTTGGAGCCCTAATTTGCAGCCCTTCTGGGTGAGATGTTTTTGCCTCCATGCAAATTGCACAGTTGGCCCATTGCTTCCACACCTGCCACCAATGTGCCCCTCGGGCTCATTGCGCATCAAGCGGCTGGCTTGTGCAAATTGGCAGCGCGTGGCATGTGCTTGTTACGCAGCGTCATGTAGCACAGCATTCTTGCCGCCGCAAGTCTCGTGTGCACGTTTGTCTCGCCAATATTTACAACCTGTCTCTCCCTCTGCTTGAGGCAACTGATGGACATCAGATTAAAAGAAATGGAAACCTCATCCCAGAAGCTAAATGCTCTTAAAATACTAAGCCTTATGCAAGAAGAAGGAGGCAGAGAAGGAGGAGGAGGAGGAGGAGGAGAGGAGGAGGAGGAGGAGAAGAAGAAGAAGAGAATCAAGTTGGAAGAGACTACATGGGTCATCCAGTCCAACCTCTTGCCATGATAAAGGAGGAAGAGGAGGATGGGAAAAAAGAGGTGGATGTGAGACGTAGCCTAAATGCACTATTCAAATACGAGGGTTGAATGAAAAGTAATGCCTCCACCTTCGTAACTCTTCAACAGATGGCAGTACTAGTATGCGGCAGGTACTAGCTTGTTCAGTAGACTCTCCTCTACAGTTCCATTTTGATGGGAAGCCTTAGCATTGAATGGTTGTGTTGTTAAAGTGCGAAGTATGGAACCCTGCACAGACAGTCAGTCAATGCAACTTAAGCAACATGCAGTCATTGAATTCTTGACAGCAGAAGGTGTCACCCCAAAGGAGATTCATCAGAGAATGCAAGCTGTTTATGGGGATTGTGTTGATGTGAGTACTGTGCATCGTTGGGCAAATAAGTTTGAATCTCCTTTGGGGTGACACTTTCTGCTGTCAAGAATTCAATGACTGCACGTTGCTTAAGTCGCATTGACCGACTGTCTGCGCAGGGTTCCATACTTTGCACTTTAACAACACAACCATTCAATGCTAAGGCTTCCCACCAAAATGGAACTGTAGAGGAGAGTCTACTGAACAAGCCAGTACCTGCTGCATACCAGTACTGCCATCTGTTGAGGAGTTATGAAGGTGGAGGCATTACTTTTCATTCAACCCTCGTAAATGACTTCTCTCCTGCTCTCTAAAGGCCAGAAAGCTGCTGAAGCTTTGGTTCTCCAAACCTTTAGGACTTCAACTCCCCAAGTTCCTTGCCAATGAGGTAAATGACAAGGGATTGTGAGGAATTGTGATGCAAGGTATCTGCAGAACCAGAAATGTCCTGAAGCAAAGGAACAAATGCTACTCTGGTTTGCTGTGAGTTTTCAGGGCACTCTGGCCATGTTCCAGAAGCATTCTCTCCTGAAGTTTCACCCACATCTAAGGCAGGCGCCCTTGGAGGTTGAGAGGTTTGTTGGAAACAAGGCAAGTGGGGTTTATATATCTGTGGAAAGTCCAGGGTGGGAGAAAGAACTCTTGCCAGTTGGAGTCTAATGAGAATGCTACTCTTCCTCTCCTCTTAAATCAAGGTGCAGCCTGGAACACAAGTTATTTTGGTACACAAATCTTATAAATGCCTCTCCCTGCCCGGAGAGTAAAAAATACATAACTAGCTAATTATGTTCTATCCTTTAATGAATCCCAAATTCTGGTCCCTGAGGCAGCCATCCTGTTAATTTGGCACTTTGTGAAGGAATGTTTTCTAATATTTCACCAATGAAAACTGACACTGTTGTGGCCAAACAATATTGGAATGTGGTCATAGCTGCATTTTTTTTAATGAAGAACTACAAATTAAGTAATTGATTGCATATTAATTGTAAAATGATATTTATTATTGGGTTGTTGTAGGTTTTTCGGGCTATATGACCATGTTCTAGAAGCATTCTCTCCTGACGTTTCGCCTGCATCGATGGCAAGCATCCTCAGAGGTTGTGAGGTCTGGCCTCTGAGGATGCTTGCCATAGACGCAGACAGTTTCCTTATCTTTAATACACTCAGACAGAAATAGCAAGATATGAAAACAAACAGCGAACACATGTTATATAGAGATCCCTTGGTGCATAGTCCACATTCTTCTTAGCATTCAGCATTCTTCACATGTCTGCGCAAGCATTAAAGAAGACTCAGAACACATCAAAGCCTCACATGTTGTTGATCTAAAATCCTAGCATGTGGCTGTAAAATACAGCAAGGACTGCTGCATACTCAATCCATGCTGCTGGTTTTCGAAAGACTTATGTCCCACCTTTCTGTTGTTTAGTATCATTGGGGATCATTTACAGCAATTAGATGCACAAATTAAGCAATTAGGTCAGTGACATTTTTTTATTTTTTTTACTCATAACCATGTGATTTAATTATTTATCGTGTCAAGAGCGAACCAAACAGTTGTATTGCATTAAAAAACAAAGTTTGCAAAGTATTGTCGAAGGCTTTCATGGCTGGAAACACTGGGTTGTTGTAGGTTTTTTCGGCTATATGGCCATGTTCTAGAAGCATTCTCTCCTGATGTTTCACCTGCATCTATGGCAAAGGCTTGGACCCAAACTGAGGATGCTTGCCATAGATGCAGGCAAAACGTCAGGAGAGAATGCTTCTAGAACATGGCCATATAGCCCGAAAAACCTACAACAACCCAAAGTTTGCAAACTTGGCATTCTATTAAATGTCCTTTGACCAGTATCTGGCCACTTGGAGTGCCTCTGGTGTTGCTGCAAGGAGGTCCCCCATTGTGCATGTGGCGGGGCTCAGGTTGCATTGCAGCAGGTGGTCAGTGGTTTGCTCTTCTCCACACTTGCATGTCATGGATTCCACTTTGTAGCCCCATTTCTTAAGATTGGCTCTGCATCTCGTAGTGCCAGAGTGCAGTCTGTTCAGTGCCTTCCAAGGCAGTGACATCTCCAGCTCATCCCTTGTTTGGGTATCAGCCAGCACGTCAACGACTTAAATCAAGAAATTGTTTTCTAAGATCTACAGAGACACTCGCTGGAACACCTCAGCAAGCGAGAGTCCAAAAGTGGCAGGCTCAAACCCAGAACCTCAATCAATGGCTGATACCAAATGAGAGACTCCCCCCTGGGCACACAGAAAACTGGGCGACTTGGAAGGCGCTGAACAGACTGCACTCTGGCACCACGAGATGCAGAGCCAACCTTCAGAAATGGGGCTACAAAGTGGAATCCACGACATGCAAGTGCGGAGAAGAGCAAACCACTGACCACCTGCTGCAATGCAACCTGAGCCCTGCCACATGCACAATGGAGGACCTTCTTGCAGCAACACCAGAGGCACTCCAAGGGCCAGATACTGGTCAAAGGACATTTAATCAACTACCAAGCTTGCAAACTTTGTGTTTTGTCTGTTTGTTTGTTTGTTTGTTTGTTAAAAATGCAATACAACTGTTTGTTTTGCTCCTGACACGATATGTTCAGCGCCTTCCAAGTCGCCCAGTCTTCTGTGTGCCCAGGGGAGTCTCTCATTTGGTATCAGCCATGAATTGAGGTTCTGGGTTTGAGCCTGCCACTTTTGGACTCTTGCTTGCTGAGGTGTTCCAGCAAGTGTCTCTGTAGATCTTAGAAAACTATTTCTTGATTTAAATAAATCAAGATAACCATGTGGTGTGTTCCTGTTTGAGTCTCATGCTGTGCTCCAACTTCCATGCCAAGGAGCTTTGTTGTTCTTAGATGCTCTCCATATCGAATTGCCAACAGGTTCAGATTACCTTCCCGCCAAAGCAGTACCTATTTATCTACTCACGTTGTTGTTTTTGAACAGCTAGATGAGCAGAAGCTGGGCTGATGGTGGGAGGTTGAACTGTCAACTTTTCAATCGGCAAGATTTTCTACAGCCGGCAGTTTAAACTGCTGTGCCAAAGTCCAGCCCTACTATTTTACTACATTCCATGACTGTATCAGTTTGCCTGATTGTGCTGGCTATTTCATTATCATAAAAGTTATATAAACTTTGGCTTTGTTTTGTTCATTTAGGAAAAGCGACCTACCTTCACACCGGAGAAGTAATTGATGGAGTGGATATGCGTGCCGAAGTGGGTCTGCTGAGCCGGAACATCGTAGTGATGGGAGAGATGGAGAACGAATGCTACAATTACAATACTGATCTGTGCTCCTTCTTTGATTTTGATACGTTCGGTGGCCATCTCAAGGTATCATGAGCTGCCTTTCAGCCCTGTTTTCCTATAATGCAGTATTTTCATGTAGTTGGTTCTCTGAGAGGACAGGAAAGTTTTAGGTATGTAGCGCTCGGGCCATGTTCCAGAAGCATTCTCTCCTGACCTTTCACCCACATCTATGGCAGGCATCCTCAGAGGTTGTGAGGTCTGTTGGAAACTAGGCAAGTGGGGTTTACATATCTGTGGAATAATGTCCAGGGTGGGAGAAAGAACTCTTATTTGCTTGAGGCAAGTGTGAATGTTGCAATTGGCCAGCTTGATTAGCATTGAATGGCCTTGCAGCTTCAAAGTCTGGCTCCTTCCTGCTGGGGGAATCCTTTGTTAGGAGATAATTAGCTGTCCCTGATTGTTTCTTGTCTGAATTCCCCTGTTTTTAAGTGTTGTTCTTTATTTACTGTTATGATTTTGGAGTTTTTTTCATACCGCTAGCAAGATTTTGTTCATTTTCATGGTTTTCTCCTTTCTGTTGTGTATTTCAATGGCTTCTCTGTGTAGTCTGACATGGTGGTTGTGGGAGTGGTCCAGCATTTCTGTGTTCTCAAATAATATGCTGTGTCCAGGTTGGTTCATCAGGTGCTCAGCTATGGCTGACTTCTCTGGTTGAAGTAGTCTGCAGTGCCTTTCATGTTCCTTGATTTGTATTTGGGTGCTCCATTTGGTGGTCCTTATGTAGGCTTGTCCACAGTTGCATGGTAGCCTTAAAAAGCCTTGCAGCTTCAAAGCCTGGCTGTCTCCTGCCTAAGGGAAATCTGGCTACCATTATTAAAAGCTCTAAAATCAGGACAGTAAATAAAGAGCAACACTTGGAAAACAAGGGAATTCCAGACAGGAAATAATCAGGGCCAGTAACACCTCCCAACCAAGGATTCCCCCCAGCAGGAAGCAGCCAGACTTTGAAGCTGCAAGGCTATTCAGCAGCGAGACTGTGGCACAGCTGGCTGGGAGTCAACTGCATTAAGATCACTAGGTCATGAGTTCGAAGCCAACCCGGGTCGGAGTGAGCTTCTGACCAAATTGTGTAGCTTGTTGTCGACCTTTGCAGCCTGAAAAACATTTGCATCTGTCAAGTAGGAAATTTAGGTACTACTTATGGGGAGGCTAATTTAACTAATTTACGAGGCCATAAAAATCTCCAGCAAGCATGCGGGGAATGAGGAAGTACTTCATCAATGGCGAATGGCCGGTGAAGCGACAGCTCCCCTGGTGGCTAGAAAAAGTTGGAATGTTAAATAGCCTCTGAGTGTCTGTCTATATATGTTGTGTGTCTATGGCATTGAATGTTTGCCATATATATGTACATTGTAATCCACCCAAGTCCCCTGCGGGGTGAGAAGGGCGGAATATAAAAAATGTAAGTAAGTAAGTAAGTAAATAAATAAATAATACTAATCAAGCTGGCCAATTGCAACACTTGCCTCAAACAGGCAAGAGTTCTTTCTCCCATTCTGGACATTATTCCACAGATATATAAACACCTCACTTGCCTAGTTTCCAACAGACCTCACAACGTCTGAGGATGTCTGCCATAGATGTGGGTGAAAAGTCAGGAGAGAATGCTTCTGGAAGATGGACATACAGCTCAGAAAATTCATAACAACCCAGTATTGCAAGTTTCTTTGGGTCGAAAGCAAGCAGAAAAGTGGAGCATAAATGAAACATTAATGAAACACCCCAGAGAAGCAAATATTTTAGGATCCCTGAATGAGCATAAGTCATCTACAACTGAGTGCTTTTAAAGTCCATCCATTTAAGAGGAGAATTCAAGAATGTCCTCCTATCTCTCCCATTCAAAACAATTGTAGCTTTAGCTGGATCATCACAGAATAGGCACAGCCATGGGAACATGTTTTAGGACTACTCTTCTGTAATTCCTCTTGCCCTTTTTCGTTCTCCAGTTTGGTCTGGGATTCAAAGCAGTCCATATGGAAGGGGTTGAGCTGAAATACATGGGCCAGCAGTTGCTGGGACACTACCCAGTCCACTTCCACATGGCGGGAGATGTGGATGAGGAAGGAGGCTACCACCCACCGACCTACGTGAAAGACATCTCCATCCATCACTCCTTCTCTCGTTGCGTCACGGTCCATGGCTCCAATGGTTTGCTGGTAAGAAACAGTTTCAGATGGCATAGGCTTGGCTTGGCTGACCCTTACCCACCTTGGATGGCTAGAACTGTGTTCTTAGATTGCCATCTTGGATGGGCAACTACTTTGATTTAGAATCAGCCATACACTATTGTCTTAGAAATATTTTCATAGTGTTATTTTAATAGTTCTGAGAATCATTAAGATATGATTTTTGGAACTGTATCTAGTCCAAAGGTGGAAAACACTAGGTCCTCCAGATGTTTGGGATTATAGCTCCTGAGGTCTTTTATCATTGGCTAGTACTAATGGAAGTTTTAGCAGTAAACATCAAAATAAGCATTGCTTTATTAGAGCTTAAATATGCAGAAGTCCTGTGTATTATGTACAGGGCTGCAGTGGGTTAAACTACTAGCTGCAGGAAATCTGCTGACCAGAAGGTTGGCAGTTCAAAGCTGTGAGTCGTGGTGAGCTCCTGCTGTTAGCCCTAGCTTCTGCCAACCTAATAGTGCAAGTAGATCAATAGGTACCATCTGGGCGGGAAGGTAAAAGGGCGCCCCATGCAGACGTGTTGGCAACACAGTTGGAATTGTGTATGGACAACAGGTTCCTCGCTATGGAAAAATGGAACAAGAGCACCTCCCCATGGCCAGAGTTGAGCATCACCTCCAGACGGCGGAGATGAAAGGGGAAGACCTTTACCTTTGCCTGTGTATTGTATGTCGTTGTTGTTCACTGTGTAAAAGGCACTGAATGTTTGCCTTATATGTGTATGCAGTAATCTGCTAGGACTCCTGCATGGGGAGATAAGGTGGAATATAAATAAAGTGGGAGTTGAAGTCCAAAACACCTGAAGGGCCCAAGTTTGTGCATGTTTGTTGTAGCATGTCTGGGCAAAAGCCTGCCTTATGACTAAAAAGGCATTTTTGGCCTTTGAAGAGGTTGTTGTTGTTGTTGTTATTAAACACAACAAGATGACTCCACAGCATCCTACGATTACTATTATTATTATTATTACTATTATTTTACTGACACAAAAGCACAGTATGTCACAGCAAACGAGATCTCTATGCTGGATTTCGTATCCCAAAATCACAAGTCGAATACTTCCCAAGCATCTAGGACTGTGTAATGTATTTTCGAATGATGCGCGCGGATCCAAGTCAGGTGGCCTTTTGCAGTTGACAGATTGTGATTTTGTTGATGTTTATTGTTTCCAAATGCCAGCTGAGATCTTTTGGCATGGCACCTAGTGCGCCAATGACCACTGGCACCACCTGGACTGGTTTATGCCAGAGCCTTTGCAGTTCGATTTTGAGGTCTTGATAGCAGCTGGTTTTTCCTGTTGTTTTTCCTCATTGTGACTGTTGCTGTTGTTGTTATTATTTGAAACACAAGATGAGTCCACAGCAGACACTCTGCTGGCTGTTGTATTGGATCCCATGTCAGACACTTCCCAAGTGTCTAGGACTGTGTGATGTATTGGTGAATAATGCGTGCAGATCCCAGTAAGGTGGCCTTCTGCAGCTGGCAGATGGTAATTTTGTTAGCACCAATTGTTTTTAAGTGCAGGCCAAGGTCTTTAGGCACTGCACCCAGTGTGCCGATCACCACTGGGACCACCTTGACTGGCTTGTGCCAGAGTTTTTGCAGTTCAATCTTCAAATCCTCATATTGTGTCAGCTTTTCCAGTTGTTTCTCTTCAATCCTGCTGTCACCTGGGATTGATCATCAACAATCCATACTTTGTTTTTTAACACGATCATGAGGTCAGGAGTCTTGTGCTCCAAAACTCTGTCTGTCTGAATCCAGAAGTCCCAGAGGAGTTTGACGTGTTCATTCTCTGTAACTTTTTCTGGCTTGTGATCCCACCAGTTCTTTGTCGCAGGCAGATGGTATTTGTGGCACAAATTCCAATGAATCATCTGAGCAACTGTGTTATGCCTCTGCTTGTAGTCTGTCTGCACGATCTTCTTGCAGCAGCTGAGGATGGGATCTATTGTTTCATCTGCTTCTTTGCAGAGTCTACATTTGGGATCTGTTGTCGACTATTATTATTATTATTATTATTATTATTATTATTATTATTATTATTATTATTGCTCGTGAGGTCCTTTATTATTGGCTAGCACTAATGAAAGTTTTCATCATCAATTTAAACCAGGGGTCCTCAAACTTTATAAACAGAGGGCCAGGTCACAGTCCCTCAAACTGTTGGAGGGCAGGATTATAATTTGAAAAAAACATGAATGAATTTCTATGCACACTGCACATATCTTATTTGTAGTACAAAAAACACTTTAAAACAATACAATAATTAAAATGAAGAACAATTTTAACAAATATAAACTTATTAGTATTTCAATGGGAAGTGTGGGCCTGCTTTTGGCTGATGAGATAGGATTGTTGTTGTTGTGTTGTGTGCTTTCAAGTCATTACAGACTTAGGTTGACCCTGAGCGAGGGCCAGGTAAATGACCTTGGAAGGCCGTATCCGGCCTTAGTTTGGTGACCCGGGCCCTGGGATAACCATTCCTTCCTATGTATTATGTGAATATGTGGCTCCAGCTATACACAAATCATAGAATTATACCATTGGAAGAGACCATAACAGCAATCAGTCCTATCCCCTGCCATGCAGGAAAAGAGAATCCGCAGTTTTGCACAATTTTAGGCTTGAACTTACATGGTCTCTTAACTTTGGCTGTGCTGAAGGTGAAGGTCTGATGTAGGAAAACTGTCTGGAGCGAAATACCTTATCCAGCTGTGATTGAGCCAAATGCAGTCGTTAGTTGCTGGGAAGACTGACCTCCTCTCCACCCATTTATTTATACTCACAGATCAAGGATGTCGTTGGGTACGATGCGTTGGGACACTGCTTTTTTACAGAAGATGGGCCCGAGGTACGCAACACCTTCGATCACTGCCTTGGACTTGTGGTGAAGCCAAGCACGTTGCTGCCATCGGATCGGGACACAAGAATGTGCAAGACCATCACAGAAGATGCTTACCCAGGATATGTCCCAAAACCTAGGCAGGACTGCAAGTGAGTGGAAACGGTTATGAAAGCGACTTGCATGGTACTTTGTATTTGATGTTAGACCAGTTGGGGAAACATTTAAAATCTGCATATTGTTTGGCCACTTATGCGTACACTTGATTTTTTTTTTTGTTCCACCATAGGATTTTTTGTATGGGAATCATGTCAGACCAAAATCAGCACAAATTAAGCTTTAGGTTCTTGTGGGTTTTTTCGGGCTATAGGGCCATGTTCTAGAGGCATTTCTCCTGACGTTTCGCCTGCATCTATGGCAAGTATCCTCAGAGGTAGTGAGGTCTGTTGGAATTAGGACAATGGGTTTATATATCTGTGGAATGGCTGGGGTGGGGCAAAGAGCTCTGGAGCTAGGTGTGAATGTTTCAACTGACCACCTTCATTAGCATTTGAAGGCCTGGCTGAGCCTGGGAAATCTTTTGTTGAGAGGTGTTAAGATGTGCCTGGTTGTTTCCTCTCTGCTGTTTTGCTGTTGTAAATTTAGAGTTTTTAATACTGGTAGCCAGATTTTGTTCATTTTCATGGTTTCCTCCTTTCTGTTGAAATTGTCCACATGCTTGTGGATTTCAGTGGCTTCTCTGTGTAGTCTGACATGGTGGTTGTTGGTGTGGTCCAGCATTTCTGTGTTCTCAAATAATCTGCTGTGTCCAGGCTGGTTCATCAGGTGCTCTATTATTATAAGCTTTATTATTGTTATTAATAATAATAATAATCATCATCATCATCATTATCATCTATATAAATAAAAATGTAACGTTCATTTGTGGGATTAACATAACTCAAAAACTACTGCACCAATTGAGACCCAGGGGAGCATTCGCACAGCTAAAGCTTGTGCGCCAGTTGCGCCCGTACCTTGGGAAGTCTGACTTGGCCACGGTAGTCCACGCGCTGGTTACATCCCGTATAGATTACTGCAACGCTCTCTACGTGGGGTTGCCTTTGAAGACTGCTCGGAAGCTTCAAATGGTCCAACGATCGGCAGCCAGTATGCTAACAGGAGCGGCACTCAGGGAGCATACTACTCCTCTGGCTGCCAGTTTGCTACTGGGCACAATTCAAAGTGCTGGCTTTAGCCTATAAAGCCCTAAACGGTTCTGGTCCGACTTACCTGTCCGAACGCATCTCCTCCTATGAACCAGCTAGGACATTAAGAGCCCTGCTCTCGGTCCCGCAGGCACAGAGATAAACATCAATTTCTTCCTTGATTCTATATGTAAAAGGTTTAAAACATTCCTCTTCTACTATTCTCTGCTGCTTTATAGGAGGAAGTACTTATCAGACCATAAAATATAATTGACAGGTAACAGTTGCATAACTACGGGGACACTTCAATAGAAATTCATTCTGGAATTCCTTAAGGCTTCCCAGACAGGGCTGTGTTGCCTCCATTCGAAGACAAGGGCAAAAGATGTGCAATAAATGGGGAATGTCTAGAGATGGGGACACCTATGTCAATATGCAAACTACAGAAATAGTGATCTATCTGCTAAATGTTATTGTTGAAGGCTTTCATGGCTGGAATCACTGGGTTGTTGTAAGTTTTTCGGGCTGTGTGGCCATGTTCGAGAAGCATTCTCTCCTGACGTTTCGCCTGCATCTATGGCAGGCATCCTCAGAGGTTGAGGGATCGGTTGGAAACTAGGGAAATGGGGTTATATATCTGTGGGATGTCCAGGGTGGGAGAAAGAACTCTTGTCTATTGGAGGTAGATGTGAATGTTTCAATTGGTCAGATATAAGAATAAAATAATAATAATAATAATAATAATAACTATTATTATTATTATTATTTTATTCTTATAGTCCACCAATTGAAACATTCACACCTACCTCCAATACCTTGATTACATGCTAATCAAGGTATTGCAGTAAAGGCCTTTTAATTTGGCATTTTTGAAGTTCTAAACCTTTGTGACAAGTTAAAAGTGAACCCTGCAACTTATCATAAATAATAATAATAATAATAATAATAATAATAATAATAATAATTATTATTATTATTATTATTATTATTATTATAATAAGTTGCAGGGTTCACTTTTAACTTGTCACAAAGGTTTAGAACTTCAAAAATGCCAAATTAAAAGGCCTTTACTGCAATACCTTGATTAGCATGTAATGGCCTAGCAGTTTCAAGGACTAGCTTCTTACTGCCTGGGGGAATCTTTTGTTGAGAAGTGATTTGCTGTCTCTGATGGTTTCATGTCTGGAATTCCCTTGTTTTTAAGTGTTGTTCTTTATTTACTGTTATGATTTTGGAGTTTTTTAAATACTGGTAGCCAGATTTTGTTCATTTTCATGGTTTCTTCCTTTTTGTTGAAATTGTCCACATGCTTGTGGATTTCAATGGATAATAATAATAATAATAATAATAATAATAATAATAATAATAATAATAATAATGTCAGCTGCAAAAGGCCACCTGACTTGGATCTGCACGCATCATTCGAAAATACATCACACAGTCCTAGACGCTTGGGAAGTGTTTGACTTGTGATTTTGTGATATGAAATCCAGCATATAGATCTCATTTGCTGTGACATACTGTGCTTTTGTGTCAATAATAATAATAATAATAATAATAATAATAATAAACTTTATTTATATACCGCTCTATCTCCCCGGGGGGACTCAGGGTGGTTTCCAAGCAACAACATCAAAACATACAGAGTCACAACATGAACAAAAAATAACAGTAACAGCAACATAAGCATGGAATTACCCAACAACACATCAATATTAAAAGGAAAAAATCCTGCTTGCTCTTCATGCCTATTTGTAAGGGCATGGAAAAGGAATGGGTCAGGACAATTAAAAAGGCTGGGTCAAGACTGATACAAATTGAAATAAGATGGGACCGGCATTTGGGTACAGTACTGTAATAGGTAAACAACAAAAGCGGGGACGGGCTATTTCCAGGGGCCTGTTAGGAGAATGACCAGGGTAATATATAGGGGGCTAGGTCATGTCTGGACAGTGTCTGGGCTGAGCTAGCACTGGTCACTCTCGAAGATTTGTTGAAACCACCAAGTCTTCAAACTCTTATGAAAAGAGAGGAGGGATGGGGCTTTTCTTATTTCCCTTGGAAGGGCGTTCCAGCGGTGGGGAGCCATCACTGTGAAGGCCCTCTCTCTCGTCCCCACCAACCTTGCTTGTGACGGAGGTGGGAACGAGAGGAGGACCTCCCCAGAGGATCTTAGAGTTCGTGCCGGTTCATAGATGCCTTAGTCACCTCCAGATTGGATTACTGTAATGCACTCTACGTGGGGCTACCCTTGAAAACAGCCCGGAAATTTCAACTGGTTCAACGAGCGGTGGCCAGGTTGTTAACTGGATCTCCTTACAGGAAGAGGTCAGCCTGCTCCGTTGGCTGCCGTTCATTTTCCGGTCCCAATTCAAGGTGCACGTGCTTACCTATAAAGCCCTAAATGGTTTGGGACCCGCCTACCTGCGTGACCGCATTTCCGTATATGAATCCACATGATCTCTTCGATCATCTGAGGAGACCCTACTCATTATCACACCTTCATCGCAAGCGCAATTGGTGGGGACGAAGGACAGGGCCTTCTCGGTGGTGGCCCCTCGACTCCGGAACTCACTCCCCAAGGACATTAAGGCATGCCCCAATTCTGGCAGTCTTTAGGAGGAGCCTGAAAACATGGTTGTTCCAGTGTGCCTTCCTAGAATAAGGAAACCCTAAGCAACATGTCCCTAATCGCACTTTACGAATGATCTAGGATTGTCTGCTCGCTCCATCTCTCTCCAAATATCTATCCTAGTTATATGTCACCTGGTCATGCCCAGCATTATTTTTTAAATTTTAATTACTACATTTGGCCCTGCCACAGGTTTTTTAATGCGTCGTGGTGTTATTGTTAATGTTTACTGCTTTGTTTATTATTTTATTTATTGTCTGTATTGTTGTTGTTGTTTTTAATTATGTGTTTGGGCTCGGCCTCTTGTAAGCCGCATCGAGTCCTTCGGGAGATGGTAGCGGGGTATAAATAAAGGTTTATTATTATTATTATTATTATTATTATAGTTGGAGATGCGATTGCAAAGATAGGCTCAAGTGTAGTCTGACATGGTGGCTCTTAACAGTGGTCCAGCATTTCTGTGTTCTCAAATGATATGCTGTGTCCAGGCTGGTTCATCAGGTGCTCTGCTATGGCTGACTTCTCTGGTTGAATTAGTCAACAGTGCCTTTCATGTTCCTTGATTTGTGTTTGGGTGCTGCGTTTGGTGGTCCCTATGTAGACTTGTCCACAGCTGCATGGGATACAGTAGATCTGCTAAACTACTTGACCTGCCTGGTTCTCTAACCTTAATCCGTCCATCTCTGCACAACCTGTTCTGGATACCATTTTAACACACTTGTCTTTGTCCCTTTATCCAACAGTGCCGTATCCACTTTCTGGATGGCCAATCCACACAACAACCTTATCAATTGTGCAGCGGCGGGATCTGAAGTGAGTATAAAGCAGGCATGGGCCAACTTGGGCCCTCCAGGTGTTTTGGACTCCAACTCCCAGAATTCCTAACAGCCTCAGACCCCTTCCTTTCCCCCCTCAGCCGCTTAAGAGGGGGGAAAGGAAAGTGTCTGAGGCTGTTAGGAATTCTGGGAGTTGGAGTCCAAAACACCTGGAGGGACGAACTTGGCTCATGCCTGGTCTAGAATGTGTGTCTAACTTGACTTTCTCATATAACAAACTCCAGAAAAACATGGAGACTCCCATCTAGGAAACCTGTCACTTTCATCCCAGTAATCAGAGGTCATTTGCAAAGCAACATTTTATGTTTGCAAAGCAACTTGAAAAATACTTTGTAAACACAGTTAACAAACACCTCCCCAGTTGCCTAAATAGTTAAATAGTTGCCTAAATAGTTACATAGTATGAGACACTATAGGTTTGGGTAACAACGCACCCCCTGACAGCCTTACTAGTGGGAGCAGGGTAATTGTGGAACGTGAGAAATATCACTCCCCTTTCGTGGTTTCCAACTTTGAACAATTGAACAAAATCTGACTATCAGTATTTAAAAAATTCTACAATCAGGAGAGTAAATAAAGAATAACACTCAGAAAACAGGGGAATTCCAGACAGTAAACAGTCAGGGCCAGCTAACACCTTCCAACAAAGGATTCCCCCCAGGCAGGAAGCAGCCAGGCTTTGAAGCTGAAAGGCCATTCAATGCTAATGAAGGTGGCCAATTTCATCATACACGCTTGCCTCAAACAGGCAAGAGTTCTTTCTCTCACCCTGGAGAATCAGGAGAGTAAATAAAGAGCAACACTCAGAGCCAGACAGGAAACAATCAGGGCCAGCCAACACCTTCCAACAAAGGATTCTCCCCAGGCACGAAGCAGCCAGGCTTTGAAGCTGCAAGGCCATTTAATGCTAATCAAGGTAGCCAATTGCAACATGCAGACTTGCCTCAAGCAGACAAGAGTTCTTTCTCCCACCCTGGACATTATTCCACAGATATATAAACCCCATTTGCCTAGTTTCCAACAGACCTCACAACCTCTGAGGATGCCTGCTATAGATGTGGGCAAAATGTCATGAGGAAAAATTCTACAATCAGGAGAGTAAAACAAAACAACACTCAGAAAACAGGAGAATTCCAGACAGGAAACAATCAGGGCCAGCTAACACCTACAACAAAGGATTTCCCCGTGCATGACGCACCTAGGCTGAGGGGGAAAAGGAAAGGGCCTGAGGCTGTTAGGAATTGTGGGAGTTGAAATCCAAAACACCTAGAGGGCCCAAGTTTGCCCATAACTGCAATAGATCCAAGCAAAAGCAAATCGTTATGGTCTCTCCCAATCGTTATGTGTTCTTCTTCATTAATAACTTAACCACATTCGGATGTTGTGTGGACACATGTATCCTGGTTTTCACATGTGTAATATGTATTGGAAGATAGGGAAAACCTATGCTGAGAGGGAAAGGAAAGGGCCTGAGGCTGTTAGGAATTGTGGGAGTTGAAGTCCAAAACACCTGGAGGGCTCAAGCTGGCCCATTCCTGATGTAGGTTGCATGTTAATCACTACATTACCTTTCAAAACACATGTTTATCTTAACATTTCTATGTTTCCTTTGTCCAAATTTACTTAAATCCCCACTTTTTCTTTTCTTTTCAAATTTGGCAAAATTCAAGATTAAGCAGAAGCTTTGGTCTCTTGCAGGAAACCGGTTTTTGGTTCGTTTTGCATCACGTGCCAACGGGGCTTTCGAGAGGGATGTATCCTCCCGGCTTCTCCGAACACATTCCAATGGGAACGTTCTATAACAATCGGGCACATTCCAACTATCGAGTGAGTATGCATGCAATGGGAAACTTTTTTCCTCTCTGTCTCTGTCTTTTATTTGGTGCCTTTATCCTTCTTCCAGCTCCAGGATCTGAAAGCTATTATTGGCCCTCGTTCCTGCTTCCGTAAAATCAAAAGCAAATGCTATCCTAGAATGTTTATCTGCAAATTCAATTTTTCTTAATGCTTGTGTTTGGCTCTTTGTGGAGCAAAATAACCAAGCAGAGTGTTGTTTGGTTTTTTTGTTGTTGCTGATCAGTGTTCTGTCGCGCGCTGGGCCTGTAATGAATTGCTTTTAAAATAAGACATGCAACTTGAGCCCAGCGGGAAGCCAGGGCCCCCCGAAGAGAAGTTCTCAAGGATTTTCCACCACAAATGGTCTTTAGATGGCTTGTGAAGTACAACAAAGTCCTTTATTAATGAAGAATCAAACAGAAACTTCTCTTGTCTTCAATAAAGTTAAACAAATGCTTCCAGGCTTTTATGCAACTGGTGGCTTACTAATCATGTCCACGAGGGACAGGCAACTGACTTCAATAACTGTTTCTTTACTTTAAAGGAAATTCCCTTTTTAACTTCTCCCAGGCTGACTGTAATCTAAGCCTTACTGATGTGGGCTCCGCTACTAGGTCGAACTGCGTCTTGAGCACCGAGCGGACCTACCAGTAAGGCCAGTAGATTCTCCAGCTGGAGTTCTTTGGTCTTCCAAACTGTTTACCCTCCGAAATTCCTCAAAGCTTTACGGCTGTTTCCCTGGAAATCTTTGGAAATCTTTGGATTCTCTTAAGACTGTTCTCCCCCGGAAAGTCTTAAGGGTTGAAGCTTTTGTACAGGAGAAGCTTGTACACATCCTCTAAATTAGCTTTCCTTACTGAGACTAACTAAAAATGGCTCCCTTCCCTTCCCAATTGCCCTGAACAAGGGGCGGAACCAAAACTTAATAATGATGGACAGGTGATTTGCCCTACGACTGCAACCAAAGGAAGCCACCTTTCTGCAGAATCCCTGAAACCTTGGACTGCAAGCAAACATTTAATACAAAGCAAATAAAGTTGGAGCTCCTGGTACAGCCGTACCAGCACAATCAGTTTACTACTTCAGATTTACCGTATATACTCGAGTATAAGCTGACCCAAATATAAACCGAGGCATATAATTTTACCACAAAAACTTGGAAAATGTATTGATTTGAGTATAAGCCTAGGGTGGGAAATACAGCAGCTATTGGTCAGTTTCAAAATAAAGACAGATACCAATAAAATTACATTAATTAAGGCATCAGAAGGTTAAAAGTTTTTGAATATTTACAGTCCAACTCCATTCTGCCAAGAAGCAGGAAAATCACATTCAAAGCACCCCCAACAGATAGCCATCCAGCCTCTGTTTAAAAGCCTCCAAAGAAGGAGCCTCCACCACAATCCAGGGCAGAGAGTTCCACTGCTGAACAGCTCTCAGAGTCAGGAAGTTCTTCCAAATGTTCAGGTAGTTTGAAACCATTTCTTGTAGTTTGAAGCCATTGTTCCATTGCGTCCTAGTCTCCAGGGCAGCAGAAAATAATAATAATAATAATAATAATAATAATAATTTTTATTTCTACCCCGCCACCATCTCCCCGATGGGGACTCAGAGCGGCTTACATGGGGCCAAGCCTGGACAACATAATACAGCAATAAAAACAAGCTTTCTCCCTCCTCCCTATGACTTCCTCTCACATATTTATACATGGCTATCATGTCTCTCTCAGCCTTCTCTTCTTCAGGCTAAACATGCCCAGCTCCTTAAGCCGCTCCTCATAGGGCTTGTTCTCCAGACCCTTGATCATTTTAGTCGCCCTCCTCTGGACACATTCCAGCTTGTCAATATCTCCTTTCAATTTTGGTACCCATAATTGGACACAGTGTCATTCCAGGTGTTGCACTGCTGAATGACTCCCACCATCAGGAAGTTCTTCCTAATGTTCTGATGGAATCTCCTTTCTTATAGTTCGAAGCCATTGTTCCATTGCATCCTAGTCTCCAGGGCAGCAGAAAACAAGCTTGCTCCCTCCTCCCTATGACTTCCTCTCACATATTTATACATGGCTATCATGTCTCCTCACAGCCTTCTCTTCTTCAGGCTAAACATGCCCAGCTCTTTAAGCCGCTCCTCATAGGGCTTGTTCTCCAGACCCTTGATCATTTTAGTCGCCCTCCTCTGGACACATTCCAGCTTGTCAATATCTCCTTTCAATTTTGGTACCCATAATTGGACACAGTGTGATTCCAGGTGTTGCACTGCTGAATGGCTCTCACAGTCAGGAAGTTCTTCCTCATGTTCAGGTGGAATCTCCTTTCTTGTAGTTCGAAGCCATTGTTCGGCATCCTAGTCTAGTCTACTTCCAAACATGGACCTCTCTTTGGAGGAATTCCTCTCACATATTTATACATGGCTATCATGTCTCCTCACAGTCTTCTCTTCTGCAGGGCAAACATGCCCAGCTCTTTAAGCCGCTCCTCATAGCGCTTGTTCTCCAGACCCTTGATTATTTTAGTCGCCTTCTTCTGGATACATTCCAGCTTGTCAGCTTTCTGGTTTGCATGTATGTATGTGTCCGTGTGTCCAGATGTTGATATCAACTGGATAAAGTCATTCTGGGAATTTTCATCAGCATCACTCCAGGATACATATTAAGTTAATATAAATATATTAAAACAAGATATTTTTGACCAGTGCTTGAACTCTCCCAAATTGATAAAAATAGAGCTAGCCCACAACGTGATGTCTTCTCCTTTCTTTGCCTAGGCTGGAATGATCATCGACAATGGAGTGAAAACTACACCTGCTTCAGCCAAGGACAAAAGACCCATCCTAACTTTGATTGCTGGAAGGTAAACCTGACTTCTGTGGGTTTTATTTGGAACTAGCGGTCCCCTGCCACATGTTGCTGTGGCCCAGTCTGGTGATCTAATGAGAAAGTGTTGGTTTCTAATATATGTCATGTTTTGATGCTTGTGGGTAAACAGTATTTCTTGCTGTTTCTTTGCCAGTGTTGATGTGGAGAGTGTCTGGTTTGCCTAATCTGGAACATGCAACATATCATTGTTCTTCTTTCAAATCTTTGATACTGCATCTGTCATATACATATGTGTGTGTGTGTGAATGGCTGGATGTCCCTTTGTCAGGAGGGCTTTGATTATGTATTCTTGTCCTGGTGAAGGGAGTTGGACTGGATGGCCTTAAGGCAGCATTTCTCAATCTGGGAAGTCAAGACCCCGGGGGTGAGGGTTGTGAGGGGGTGTCAGAAGGGTTGCCAAAGACCACCAGAAAACACTGTTGGTCATGAGGGTTCTGTGTGGGATTTTTGCCCCAATCCTATCATTGGTGGGATTCAGAATGCTCCATGATTGTAGGTGAACTATAAATCCCAGTATCTACAACTCCCAAATGTCAAGGTCTATTTCCCCCAAACTCCATCTGTGTTTATATTTGGGCATACTGAGTATTTGTGCCAAGTTTGGTCCAGATCCATCATTGTTTGAGTCCACAGTGCTCTCTAGATGTAGGTGAACTATAAATCCCAGCAGCTACAACTCCCAAATGTCAAGGTCTATCCGCCCCCCCCCCCCCCCCCCCCCCCCCAAAACTCCATCTGTGTTTATATTTTGGCATATTGTGTATTTGTGCCAAGTTTGGTCCAGATCCATCATTGTTTGAGTCGACAGTGCTCTCTAGATTGTAGGTGAACTATATAAAGATATACCCTCGAATGTCCGATTGGGCAGGGGGGCAAGCAATCCCACCGCTGCCACCAATTATAAAGATATACGCTCTTGATGGCCAAACAATATAACTGGACAGGGGCAAACAGATCCCAACACTGTCCCTCCTTCAATAAGGAATTCACACCACTTTGGCACTTATAGCGTTTGAGGGGATGTCTCTTGATTAAAACCTTCGCTGCCACCATAAACTGAAGAATCAGGAACCCTCTAGCTATTTAGAATGTTAAAAGGCTTTTCTAGGACCACCAAACACTGTGTATTAAAAAGGGCTTCTTTGAGGGGAAAACAGGAGAGGTTGATTTAAAAAGAAAAAGACTGAATCTACAAATGGCACTTGACTCAGGCTTAAATTTTAAAAATAACAAGAAAGAGTTTATTGAATACAAGTTACAGAATAAAAGTGAATGCAGGTTCAGAGGCTTAGCTGTTACAATTAAAGTGTTCTTGGTTCTTAGAAGCGTAACGGTTGCTTGAGAGAATGGTTCTATTCTTTGTTACAATTCCTAAACAAAACCCAGCTATTTCTTTTCTAAAATAGCTGTAACCAGTCTGCCACAGCCTACTTTGCTGTGCAAACTACAGGCAAGCTGCCTATTCCTAACAGAGACTCCTAAAACTCTAATCCTACTCTAACATCACCCAGAACTGAACTGAACTCTCAAAATAAGCCTCTCTCTTTCCCTCCAACTGGCTAACTCTGCCCCCCTTTTCCAAACCAATCCTGGCTGTTGCTGGGCTGGCTCAGGCCTAGGCCACTCCCCCTCTCTGAACTGGAGTCTTCCCTAAACTAAGATGGCTCCTGCAGCTCTCTGCCAGGCCCTCTAAGCTGAAACTACCTAGCCTTGTTTGAGTCCACAGTACTCTCTGGATGCAGAGGAACTACAACTCCAAAACTCAAGGTCAATGCCCACCAAACCCTTCCAGTATTTTCTGTTGGTTATGGGAGTCCTGTGTGCCAAGTTTGGTTCCATTCCATTGTTGGTGGGGTTCAGAATGCTCTTTGATTGTAGGTGAACTATAAATCCCAGCAACTGCAACTCCCAAATGACAAAATCATAATTTTTTGAGTGATGGTCACTCCTTGTGTTGTGAGATGTTTTGTTGCCAAATTTGGTGTGATTTCGTTCATTGGTTCTTTTGTTTTTAAGGTACTCATTACGCACAAAGTAGATGAAATAGAATGATAGATTAACACCGAACTCCCAGGATAACGCCAAGTTTTCAATGTATGATACGTGGACAGCTAGGCAGTAACAGATCAGGCAGCTGACAGATATTATTCAGTATGGATTTGGTTTCACTTGATAAACCTTTGTGCTGAGTATTTAACTGGTTTCACAGCCTTTTTGTGGTCACATCAGCATTGACGGATGTGGAGAAAGAGCTCTCCGTAATGGAATTACATAAGCTCACAGACAGCAGAAGATGGGTTTCTATATATTTATATTGGCATGTAGCTTTAGTCTGGAGTCCAGTCAGTTTCGAAACTTTGTCCTCTTGAACTGCACAAGGCTCAACCAGACCAGAAACCAGTTCAGCTGATTTAAACTCATGGAACACAAAGATATGGAACAGAACTCTGCTCACACCTAGCCCCCTTCTCAGGGTTAAAAAAAAAGCCTTCTTAGAAAAGTCATAATGTCTGCACCATATAAATGAATCCTACAATCTGGGAGTTTTTGGAAATGTGATAAAGCCCTTTCCCAAACTTAGGGATTTATTTGTCGTGTCAGGGCAACCAGTCAAGTGTATTACATTTCTAACAGAACAAAACAAGCAAACAGACAAAACACAAAATTTGCAAGCTTGGTAGTTGATTAAATGTCCTTTGACCAGTATCTGGCCACTTGGAGTGCTTCTGGTGTTGCCGCAAGAAGGTCCTCCCTTGTGCATGTGGCAGGGCTCAGGTTGCATTGCAGCAGGTGGTCTGTAGTTTGCTCTTCTCCACACTCGCATGTCGTGGATTCCACTTTGTGGCCCCATTTCTGAGTTGGCTCTGCATCTCGTGGTGCCAGAGCGCAGTCTGTTCAGCGCCTTCCAAATCGCCCGGTCTTCTGTGTGCCCAGGAGGGAGTCTCTCATTGGGTATCAGCCATTGATTGAGGTTCTGGGTTTGAGCCTGCCACTTTTGGACTCTCACTTGCTGAGGTGTTCCAGCGGGATGAGCTGGAGATGTCATTGCCTTGGTCCTTTCACTATTGGCTGCTACTTCCCGGCAGATGTCAGGTGGTGCAATACCGGCTAAGCAGTGTAGTTTCTCCAGTGGTGTAGGGTGCAGACACTCCAAAACTCAAGGTCAATATCCACCAAACCCTTCCAGTATTTTCTGTTGTCAATGTTTATTGTTTCCAAATGCCGGTTGAGATCTTTTGGCATGCCACCCAGTGTGCCAATGACCACTGGGACCACCTGTACTGGTTTATGCCAGAGCCTTTGCAGTTGTTGTTGTTGTTGTTGTCAGAGGGCCAATTATTTCTGTTGCTGACCCCATTGCTGGCCTCTTGCCCTTCTCCAGGTACAGCCCGCATAAAGATTCGGACCCTTTGAAGCCCCGGGAACCGGCCATCATCCAGCACTTCATTGCCTACAAGAACCAAGACCATGGCGCTTGGCTGCGGGGAGGAGACGTGTGGCTGGATTCCTGCCAGTGAGTGTTGCCTCAATTCAACCCTCAAAAGTTCAGCTCCGATTTTTTTGGCAGGCAGAGCTGTGGCCGGGCCTATTTTTACGACTGGCTTCAGCGCCTTTCATCTGGCAAGGGGTTTAATACGAAAACGAGAACCCAGGAAGAAAGCCTGCACCTTGTTTGTGCAGAGGGATATCCTGTCTTGCTGGAGTTCGTATAGATGTGTGATTTTGTGTCAGCTCCGTTACAATAAACCGCAGCTGGAAGCGAACTTTAAATAAACTTTTCTGCCTAAGCCTGGAAAAAAAACTATACACATAAGCAGCTGGGCTCTTGGTTTTATGATATGCGGTAGTGTGTTATTGCCAGAAATTCCAGTGCTGGGGAGGTAGGCAGAAGACAGGATGGCTTGAGGAAGGATTGAGTAAACAACAGTCGGTTTCAAAATTCTTTGTAAGGATAGAAGATGCTTTCTTTTCTTCACTTCTCAGGTTACTTAGAGATTTTATCCGTCTGTGTGCTGATTCCAGAGCAGGAATAAAAGTATAAGGTTTTGAGGTCTGGTTTTTGGGGTCCCCCCCTTTACTCATCCTTTTTAACCATCTGCTATAGTTGTTGTTGTTCATTCGTTCAGTCGTCTCCGACTCTTTGTGACCTCATGGACCAGCCCACGCCAGAGCTCCCTGTCGGCCGTCACCACCCCCAGCTCCTTCAAGGTCAGTCCAGTCACTTCAAGGATGCCATCCATCCATCTTGCCCTTGGTCGGCCCCTCTTCCTTTTTCCTTCCACTTTCCCCAGCATCATTCCCTTCTCTAGGCTTTGCTGTCTCCTCCTTGGTGGCCAAAGGACTTCAGCTTTGTCTCTAGTCTCCTTCCCTCCAGTGAGCAGCCGGGCTTTATTTCCTGGAGGATGGACTGGTTGGATCTTCTCGCAGTCCAAGGCACTCTCAGAACTTTCCTCCAACACCACAGCTCAAAAGCATCTCTCTTCCTTCGCTCAGCCTTCCCTAAGGTCCAGCTCTCACATCCGTAGGTGACTACAGGGAAGACCATGGCTTTGACTAGGTGGATCTTTGTTGCCAGTCTGATGTCTCTACTCTTTACTATTTTATCGAGATTGGACATTGCTCTCCTCCCAAGAAGTAAGCGTCTTCTGATTTCCTGGCCACAGTCTGCATCTGCAGTAATCTTTGCACCTAGAAATACAAAGTCTGTCACGGCCTCCACGTTTTCTCCCTCTATTTCCCAGTTGTCAATCATTCTTGTTGCCATAATCTTGGTTTTTTTATGTTTAGCTGCAACCCAGCTTTTGCGCTTTCTTCTTTCACCTTGATTAGAAGGCTCCTCAGCTCCTCCTCGCTTTCGGCCATCAGAGTGGTGTCATCTGCATATCTGAGGTTGTTAATGTTTCTTCCAGCAATTTTCACCCCAGCTTTGCATTCTTTTTTTTTTTTATTATTTATTTTTATTATGTGTTTTTCTTGATTACATAGACAATGAAAGAGAAAAAAAAGATATACATAAAATAGAGAAACATACAAATCTACTGTGACACCACCCCACCCCCCGCGCCACCCTTCCCTCCCCGTGTTGTGACTTCCCATCGTCTT